ATCGTTACTGAGGGACACAGAATCGTTACTCAGGGACTGACACAGAATCGTTACTCAGGGACACAGAATCGTTACTGTGTTTTGAGGGACACAGAATCGTTATACTGAGGGACACAGAATCGTTACTCAGGGACTGACACAGAATCGTTACTCAGGGACAGACACAGAATTGTTACTCAGGGACAGACACAGAAATTGTTACTCAGGGACACAGAATTGTTACTCAGGGACACAGAATTGTTTACTGAGGGACAGACACAGAATTGTTACTCAGGGATACAGAATTGTTACTGAGTCGGGACACAGAATTGTTACTGAGGGACACAGAATTGTTACTCAGGGACAGACACAGAATTGTTACTCAGGGACACAGAATTTGTTACTCAGGGACACAGAATTGTTACTCAGGGACAAACACAGAGAGTTGTTACTCAGGGACAGACACAGAATCTTGTTACTGAGGGACACAGAATTGTTACTGAGGGACACAGAATTGTTACTCAGGGACAGACACAGAATTGTTACTGAGGACACAGAATTGTTACTGAGGGACACAGAATTGTTACTGAGGGACACAGAATTGTTACTGAGGGACACAGAATTGTTTACTCAGGAGAGACACAGAATTTGTTACTCAGGGACAGACACAGAATTGTTACTCAGGGGACAGACACAGAATTGTTACTCAGGGACACAGAATTGTTACTCAGGGACACAGAATTGTTACTGAGGGGACACAGAATTGTTACTCAGGGACAGACACAGAATTGTTACTCAGGGATACAGAATTGTTACTCAGGGACACAGAATTGGTTTACTGAGGGACACAGAATTGTTACTCAGGGACAGACACAGAATTGTTACTCAGGACACAGAATTGTTACTCAGGGACACAGAATTGTTAACTCAGGGACACAGAATTGTTACTCTTAATCAGAGACACAGAATTTGTTAATCAGGGTACAAACACAGAATTGTTACTCAGGGACAGACACAGAAATTGTTACTCAGGGACAGAGACACAGAATTGTTACTCAGGGACAGACACAGAATTGTTACTCAGGGACAGACAGACGATCCAGAATTGTTACTCAGGGATACAGAAATTGTTACTCAGGGACACAGAATTGTTACTGAGGGACACAGAATTGTTACTCAGGGACACAGAATTGTTACTCAGGGACAGACACAGAATTGTTACTCAGGGACACAGAATTGTTACTCAGGGACACAGAATTGTTACTGAGGGACACAGAATTGTTTACTACAGGGACAGACACAGAATTGTTACTCAGGGATACAGTAATTGTTACTCAGGGACACAGAATTGTTACTGAGGGACACAGAATTGTTTACTCAGGGACAGACACAGAATTGTTACTCAGGGACACAGAATTGTTACTCAGGGACACAGAATTGTTACTCAGGGACAGACACAGAATTGTTACTCAGGGACAGACACAGAATTGTTACTCAGGGACAGACACAGAATTGTTACTGAGGGACACACAGAATTGTTACTCGGAGGGACACAGAATTGTTACTCAGGGACAGACACAGAATTGTTACTGAGGGACACATAATTGTTACTGAGGGACACAGAATTGTTACTGAGGGACACAGAATTGTTACTGAGGGACACAGAATTGTTACTCAGGGAGAGAACACAGAATTGTTACTCAGGGACAGAACACAGAATTGTTACTCAGGGACAGACACAGAATTGTTACTCAGGGACACAGAATTGTTACTCAGGGACACAGAATTGTTACTGAGGGGACACAGAATTGTTTACTCAGGGACAGACACAGAATTGTTACTCAGGGATACAGAATTGTTACTCAGGGACACAGAATTGTTACTGAGGGACACAGAATTGTTACTGAGGGACACAGAATTGTTACTCAGGGACACAGAATTGTTTACTCAGGACACAGAATTGTTACTCAGGACACAGAATTGTAAAAAATGTTTTACTCTCATGAGGACAAACAGAATTGTTACTCAGGGACAGACACAGAATTGTTACTCACGGGACAGACACAGAATTGTTACTCAGGGACAGACACAGAATTGTTACTCAGGGACAGACACAGAATTGTTACTTCAGGGACAGACACAGAATTGTTTACTCATGGGACACAGAATTGTTACTCAGGGACACAGAATCGTTACTCAGGGGACACAGAATCGTTACTCAGGGACACAGAATCGTTACTGAGGGACACTGAATTGTTACTCAGGGACACTGAATTGTTACTCAGGGACAGACACAGAATTGTTACTGAGGGACACGAATTGTTACTGAGGGACACAGAATTGTTACTCAGGGACACAGAATTGTTACTGAGGGACACAGAATTGTTACTCAGGGGTACAGACACAGAATTGTTACTCAGGACACAGAATTGTTACTGAGGGACACACAGAATTGTTACTCAGGGACAGACACAGAATTGTTACTCAGGGACCACAGAATTGTTACTGAGGGACACAGAATTGTTACTGAGGGACACAGAATTGTTACTCAGGGACAGACACAGAATTGTTACTCAGGGACACAGAATTGTTACTGAGGGACACAGAATTGTTACTCAGGGGACAGACACACAGAATTGTTACTCAGGGACAGACACAGAATTGTTACTCAGGGACACAGAATTGTTACTCAGGGACACACGAATTGTTACTGAGGGACACCAGAATTGTTACTCAGGGACAGACACAGAATTCTGTTACTCAGGGACAGACACAGAATTGTTACTCAGGGACAGACACAGAATTGTTACTCAGGGACACAGAATTGTTACTCAGGGACACAGAATTGTTACTCAGGGACAGACACAGAATTGTTACTCAGGGACAGACACAGAATTGTTTACTCAGGGACACAGAATTGTTACTCAGGGACACAGAATTGTTACTCAGGACACAGAATTGTTACCATCAGGGACAGACACAGAATTGTTACTCCAGGGACAGACACAGAATTGTTACTCAGGGACACAGAATTGTTACTCAGGGACACAGAATTGTTACTCAGGGACACAGAATATTGTTACTCAGGGACAGACACAGAATTGTTACTCAGGGACACAGAATTGTTACTCAGGGACACAGAATTGTTACTCAGGGACAGACACAGAATTGTTACTCAGAGGACACAGAATTGTTACTCAGAGACGACACAGAATTGTTACTCAGGGACACAGAATTGTTACTCAGGGACAGACACAGAATTGTTACTCAGGGACACAGAATTGTTACTCCGGGACACAGAATTGTTACTCAGGGACACAGAATTGTTACTCAGGGACACAGAATTTGTTACTCAGGGACACAGAATCGTTACTGAGGGACACAGAATATCGTTACTCAGTGACACAGAATCATTACTCAGGGACTGACACAGAATCGTTACTCAGGGACTGACACAGAATCGATACTCAGGGACACAGAATCGTTACTCAGGGACACAGAATCTTTACTGAGGGACACATGAATTTTTACTGAGGGACACAGAATTGTTACTCAGGACCAGACCACAGAATTGTTACTACCAGGGACACAGAATTGTTACTCAGGGACACAGAATCGTTGAATTAAAGAGTATGTCAGACAACACGCAGAGGAGTGGCAGAGGAGGCAATGTTTCAGGAGCGAGCAGGACGTGGCAGCAGAGGAAGGGGTCGAGGCAGCACTAGTCGCAGCCAGGGCCAGTGCTCCCGGTGTGTCATCCAGCGGTCGTGTCTCCACCGATTCAACCCGGCCCAACTAATACCACCTTGTCAATCCATACACAACCCCTCTCTCTGCCTGATCATCGATTGGTTAGGCTCGGTCGTCTTCCTCTTCCCAGGTCACCTCTGACACCTACAGCCAACGGTCGAGTGGGTACGTCAGACACAAAACGTTAGTTGGCATGCCCGGGAGCAAGCCCACTGAAATCACGTTGTCTCCCTACCTGCCCCTGTACCCTTTGGTGTTCCCCCTCACCAAGCGAAGTATCGCATGCTGTGGGCTCAGCCTCACTGTACAAGTGAGGAAGAGCTAACAGAGGCGGTCCAGGAACGGGGGGGGAGGACATCCGCCTCTTCAGCAGCCCAGGCGAAGAAGTACTTACTGGCGAGGAGAGTGGCTCGGTAGCCGGTCTAGAGACAGGTCTGTCTCCTGATCCACACGCAGCCGAGGGGGCTAGTATCGTGAGGCGGAGACCCCTAATTGATGATGATGAGGCTTGATCAGCACTTGACAGCCTCGTCGTCATCAGGCTATTGCTTCCGCATCATCACGGAGAAGAGGGTGGCCAGCTTGGCAGCGAGCAACAAACAGTCGGTGGGTTGCCCAGGAGGCAGCAGGGTCGCAGCAGTGTCAGTGGAGGCAAACGGCCACGGAGTAGAGCACCAGCTCCACTGCAGCCTACCACCACGGCCAGTAGTGGTGCAGGTGTGCACGGAGGAAGTAGCAGTCAGCCAGTGAGGAGTAGCGGGGGCAAAGTTTCCTACTCGGCGGTGTGGCAATTTTTTCGTCAAGCGACCGCCCGAGGAAGTAAACGTAGCCGTAATGTCCGACTATGTGGCCAGAAAGTGAAGCGTGGCCAGGGGGCCCATGTTGGGACTACAGCGTTGCGTCAGCATATACAGCGTCGCCATTCGGTGGCCTGGGAAAACCGTGATAAAGATACGGCGGTTCTGCCTGCCCCAGCCCCCGCTCCATCACCCGCTCCGTTACTTGCTCCGTCACCCGACGTCAATCGCCCTCTTTAAGCTGCTTACGCTTCGCCACTCTGCCATGGGCCCCTGTACCGCCTCCTCTTGCTGCTGCCAGGTCCAGAGTGTGTCATGGGTCCCTGTACGGCCTCCCATTGCTGCTGTCTCCATCGCCACACTCTGCCATGTGCCACTTTCAGGTCTCCTCACACTGCTGGTGGGTTCCATTTTGTCATAGGGTGCTGGCAGATTACGGGCCTCCCATTGCTGCTGCCAGGCCCGTAATCTGCCATGGGCCCCTGTACCACCTCCTCATGCTGCTGCCAGGTCCAGAGTGTATCATGGGTCCCTGTACGGCCTCCCATTGCTGCTGTCTCCATCGCCACACTCTGCCATGTGCCACTTTCAGGTCTCCTCACACTGCTGGTGGGTTCCATTTTGTCATAGGGTGCTGGCAGATTACGGGCCTCCCATTGCTGCTGCCAGGCCCGTAATCTGCCATGGGCCCCCGTACCGCCTCCTCATGCTGCTGCCAGGTCTAGAGTGTCTCATGGGTCCCTGTACGGCCTCCCATTGCTGCTGTCTCCATCGCCACACTCTGCCATGTGCCACTTTCAGGTCTCCTCACACTGCTGGTGGGTTCCATTTTGTCATAGGGTGCTGGCAGATTACGTGGGCCTCCCATTGCTGCTGCCAGGCCCGTAATCTGCCATGGGCCCCCGTACCGACTCCTCATGCTGCTGCCAGGCCCATAATCTGTCATGGGCCCCTGTACCGCCTCCTCATGCTGCTGCCAGGTCCAGAGTGTGTCATGGGTCCCTGTACGGCCTCCCATTGCTGCTGCCAGGCCCGTAATCTGCCATGGGCCCCCGTACCGACTCCTCATGCTGCTGCCAGGCCCGTAATCTGTCATGGGCCCCTGTACCGCCTCCTCATGCTGCTGCCAGGTCCAGAGTGTGTCATGGGTCTCTGTACGGCCTCCCATTGCTGCTGTCTCCATCGCCACACTCTGCCATGTGCCACTTTCAGGTCTCCTCACACTGCTGGTGGGTTCCATTTTGTCATAGGGTGCTGTATGGCCTCCCATTGCTGCTGCCAGGCCCGTAATCTGCCATGGGCCCCCGTACCGACTCCTCATGCTGCTGCCAGGCCCGTAATCTGTCATGGGCCCCTGTACCCCGCCTCCTCATGCTGCTGCCAGGTCCAGAGTGTGTCATGGGTCCCTGTATGGCCTCCCATTGCTGCTGCCTCCACCGCCACACTGTGGCTCCACACTCTGGTTTTGGCCCCGTGACTGCCCAAATGAGTGAAGTGTGCGGTGATTCTAAGATCGACGGCACTCATTTGCATGTCATACTGACTGACAGTATTATTTCTCTTCCCCAGCAGACTCCAAGGGCATTTAAATTAAAGGTACAGTGTTCTGCACTAATATAAAGGCTCTCTGAAGCCTAGAAACACCCTTTTTATAAGTTAAATTCGCAGCGAATATATTCGCCTCGAATCGAATTTATTCCTCGAATTCGCCGAATCAGCCGAATCGAATTTTTGAATACTTCGCTCATCTCTAACGGTGAGTATAGCCCGAAACCTATGTTTTAACTGGAAAATTAGGGGGTCGTCTTATACAACTAGTCGCCTTATACGCCAGAAAATACGGTATGTGAGATAACAGTAAGTGGTCTTACCATGCAAGAACACTTAATTATACATTGTATAGTGTAAGGCAGGGGTGTGATACATGAAAAAAATAATAGAAGCAGGGAGCCCTTCCATAGGTTGTGTGTAGGCATGAGCTAAAGGTGTGACCCGAACACAAGTTTGAACCAAACTTTGTCTGTTTAGGTATTTGTTCGAACATCAGACCTTTTGCTCGTTTGGTGGGAGCCAAATGTCTTTATATAGTAGTGGTGTTTCTAACACTATACTGTATGACTGCTTCCTTCCTGTCAGTGGATGTTAAGAGTGGAACTAGACACACTGATATAACTGTTTCCCAAAACAGTTACATTTAAGCATACCTTGAAAGATAATCGTTACTAGTCTGCTTATGTTAGCTCTGATCTGAACTGTCAAGCTGTCACATGTGCAGCACCATACAACTGCAGATCAAACAGAGCCTGATATGGCTTTAAAGCGGAATTATACTCACCTCTAATCCAGCAATTCACCGTCCCAGAGCTCCCCACCCAGCCGCTAACATCTTTGGGTGGCCGGCTTCTGGGTCCCAAATGCTGGCCGCTGTCATGGGCTGGGTGAGAATGATGTCACTTGTGAGAGTTCAGTCAGCTTCGGCATTGCCAATTTTTTACAGTGAGCAGTGACCATGCGGATAGGTAACTTTAATGCAGAAACATGTCTCTTTGGCATTAAAAATCATACCTGTTTGCCCCCTTCTATTGTGTTTTTTTTTAACCTAAAGTTCCACTTTAAGGAAGCAGCATGTGTTTTTCCACTTTGCAGTCAGTGACATCACTGAACCCATTCAGTTACTGGCCCAGAATTCCCTCGTATGTATCATAGGGGCAGAGATAGTACTGACATCACTGATCAAATATGGCTACATGGCCATATTTTTTGCAATTACAGTGATTTAAATTTAGCAGTGGGGACCAGGAGATGTCATTTGATGAGAGTGAGCAACAGGATCGGATTGTGTTTGTAACAGCGTATACCCAGAGATGGATGTGGTTCAACCATTTTGGCTTCAACCTCCATCTTGGCAAAGGGGTTAACCATCCTGACAAACATATTTCTCCCTCATTGTTCCCCCCTCCCTCTCTGAGAGGCCCCAGCGACATTTGGCCAGTATGTGTCTGAGTTAGGAATGTCACAGGAGGGTCATAGCAGCTATAAAGCCTCCCTGTCTAAAGAACCTGCAAATTGTAACACCTCAGAAAAGATAAGCCAAGCTTTCCCAGGAGTTGAAAGAGATTCCAACCTAATAAACCTAACTCAGCGTAGGTGACAGAATCAGATAACCTTTGTTAAAATCCATTTCTCCCCTATGTCTCATATCTTGGAATATGAGAGACTTACATAAAAAAACCGGACCTATCGTCAGATTGGCCACGAGAAGGCAAACCGTTTGGTAGGTCACTCGCATTGGCTCGAATACATAGGAAAGCCGAAAAATAGATCTCGTGAACCGTACAGTGTATAATTTCATAATTCATATATAATCAATCCTCAGACGTGTCTGCCTAATAATCTACCCGCGGGTGGAATATCACTTGTGCATAGGAAAAGTTATGGGCCAAAATATGAGTTATGGGAGATTTTGGCTCTAGTTGAGGTATCCGCCCATATCTACATGCCCTAAACGGAGTATTGGTCCTTGACTTCAGAGACACACCCTGCTGGGGACTACAAAATAGGCTGTCAGGCCTAAGAGTGTAAGTTGAAGACGTCTCCCATATTTACATCAATACCACCTGGGGAGACCCATGCCCTTTTGCTCTGAAACTTGGATCTGCTTACCCAGGACTTTGGCAAGTACCTTAACCCTTTCACCTCTCTCTGATATCTCTTTGCTGTGCTGTTGGTCTCTGTATGTTTATATATATATATATATATATATCTTAATTACATCTTTTCTGTAAATATTTTTATTGCACCCGTTTGACCTTTTAGTAATAAATCTTTCTTTCTGAAAGTGTTGAACTGTTTCTATAGCGCTTTATTGCAATTTATGAATTCCTGCCTCTAAAGAGAACGCTACTGTGTTTATTTAACCCTCTATATAACCATGTTATACAGATGATTACCTCAACCATTATACTGTTATAACTGATATTGCCGAGTTTCCTCTTTCTCTGTACAAAAAGGAGGTGGTGGCAGTGTGAAGAGTCAATTGCATAATTAACCTGACCCAGTAACAATCGCTCAGGCTGCCGGTACATCGATTGTGGTCCAATTAGCTGGAAAATCATTGTGCAGGGCGCAGCTGGGTGTGGCATTGTTATGCACGTGCGGTTTTAGATCGGCTAGTCCTTCGGTCACGAGTTTGGTGAGAAGGTCTGGGGTCTGACGCCGCGATCGTGACAGTGTTAGCATATTTTTCTTTCTGTGGGTTGGCAGGTATCCATCATCATGATGGATGACTTGGGTCTACGTCGTTGGACAACGTGATTGACAACAGATGTTGTTATTGAACAAAAATAAAGAATTTGTTAAGAATTGTGATGTAATTAATGTATGGTTTAATTTTTTTTAGATGGTTACAGTATATACCCCTTAGGCCTCGTTTACACTTGCTTCAAAATATGGCATTATATCTGCATTTTTAAAGCACTCTGAATGCCAATCAAAGCATCTATCACAAAATAAAATGGGAACCTTACAGTGCTATATAAACTGTTGAGTTTGCTCTGCTTTGCTTTGCTTCATAATTTATAGCCCATGCTTATTGGTGTTTCAGATCATCTCCAAAGCCCCCATCACCAGTCTATCACAGCACTCCCTAACATCCCGCCACTCTTGAATGCACAGGGTTGTGGGGAAGAGGTCCTTGTCTACCATCAACAAAGTGCTTTACCAGGGGGTCCCCCCTGTCAGGTTACCCCTCCCCCTCTCCCCTCTTCCTGGTCTGATAGGCTGCATACACTGATAAGGGTCTGGTACAGACTTCAGCTTTAATTTTCCTTTTCCTATGTTAGGCTTGTATCATTGATTGGGAGCATTAGCTATCTTTGCCCACCAAACTATTAACATAAAATTGGACCTTTTTATTTTTTTATTAAAATTGTTGGCATAAACATTGAATGATTTGCTCTTGTCCCTAAAAGCACAGTGCTCTGCTTGAATGGACCTCCCATTGAATATCTTGGGCCGCATCAACCAAAATGATGTACTGTACCTCCCTAAATTTATTCATATTTTTCAACACTGTCCTGTTTGGGTCCCTTCTTTCTTTTTTAATGATTTTGATAAATGTGTGAGTTCCTTCATTTGGCATGGTTCTCTTCCCCTATTGGTGAAGACTACCCCTTGGCTTCCTCCTGGAATTACCCAATTTTCAAGTATATTTGTGGGCAGCGGTGCTGGTCTCAGTTTGCTGCGGTGTGCTTAGAGAGCGATCTTCCTGGGCTCTTTGTCAGATTTGTGTAATTTTATATACAGAGGGCTGAGAGTGTATGAGGCGGTACCTGAACCAACGCATACCATGTGGAGGGTGTGGGTGACTGCCCACCGCCGTTTTTTAATTCCAGATCAGTGGTCTCCAGCCCAACCGCTCTGGGCAACCCTTCTCTTCCTTAGTTTTGTATCCTCCCGGACCCCCAAGTCTGGGCATGGTATAGTAATAAAAACCTGGCTGATATTAAACCCCAAGGAACCCTCTTGCCTTTTCCCTAACTCTCCGTCAACTTTCGACTGCCAGCTAGTATGTTCTTCAGGTACCTTCAACTGTGGCATGCTGTGAGAGCCCAATTTGCCCAGTTGCCAATTCTCCAGGCTGACCCAGTTTAGGAACAATTGCTTCCAGGAGACTTGGCGAAACCCCTCTCGATCCTGTGTGGAGCTCTTCTAAATGTTAATTCCCCTAAACATGAGCAAATGTGGGAGCAGCGGAAGATATTCTGTCCTTAAACAAAGAGGACTGGAAAGATAGTGTGGAACGGGGTCCTAAAATTGTTGTTTCCTCCAGTAATAAATTGATTCAGGTCAAATTTCTCCAGTCTATTACACCCCTCTGAGACTTCTTAAAATATACCCTGACCGGGACCCTATTTGTTCCCATTGGCGTGTACACCCAAGGATCTTTTTTAACATGTTTGTGTCATGCCCCGTAACTATGACCTACTGGGCTGATGTTTTTGCAAAGATTGTTCAGTAATGAAGTGCAAAAAAGCACATGTGCTGCAGACTAGAAACATTTTATCTGCAAAACTATACTAACAAGCATACAGCTGATTCTGACATTACACTGTGGCAGCATTTACTTGTCACAAGAATATACACTAAATGATTTTAGTGCTAATTATGGCCCTGGATTTGATATTTCTTACCTGCAAGACACGTGGGACATACATTAGCCTGGAAGAACAGGGTGCGACTGAATAAAAGTTCCCAGCA